TCACTGGAAGCAAGATTCCCACATCGCCTGATGCTGTAATCGTCTGCGCAGGTCTTGGGGCTCGGTTTTTGGTGGGAATTGAAGACAAGGACTGTTACCCGATCCGCGGACAGATCTTATTGATTCGAGCGCCGTGGATCAGGTTTGGTAGGACAATCAGTACGAAGGAAGGGCTTTGGACGTATATTATACCGAGAAGAAGTGGTGATGTAAGTGCCTTCCGAGTATTTCGCCGACTCCTTTATTGAATGGAAAATATAATTTATAGGTCACTGTAGGTGGTACGAAGATCGACAATGATTGGTATGCTCCAGAATTTCTGTTACACGAGCGGACGTGTGTTTGATGGTTTTAGGTACCCAAACCCACGGCCCGAAACCTCTGAAGACGTTCTTGAGCGCGCATTTGCACTGTGCCCGGAACTCGCACCGCCAGAGATCCGCGCACAACGGGCACCTACAATCGACGATGTCCGGCCAATCATCATTTCAGAAGGGTGTGGTTTGAGACCCGGAAGGAAGGGTGGCATACGGCTTGATGTCCGATGGACAGAAAACAAAGGAAAGAAAGTTCCTCTCGTCAGCAATTATGGGTCAGTAATATGTCGATTGTTTCTCTGAGTTATCGGAAGCTAATCCTGACGACCTTACTTAGACATGGTGGCCAGGGATTCCAATCGTCGTGGGGGTCTGCGTTTGCTGCTACGGAGCTTCTAGAGAATGCACTGAAGGAGATCTAAGATGCTGAGGCCTTATGCTGATTGTGAAAGTATCAAGGGTCCGAAGACCTATAAGTAAAGGAATTCGAAATCGGTTTGAACGAAGTGCCTATCATGATGCCGCGGCCGGATCTTGGTCTTCTTTAGTTGGAAGCATGTACTTTCCTCTATCTTGTAGATGCATCTCATGGCCTCTCAGGCCATCGACTCTGAGAAAGAGATCGTTGTGATCGGTGCAGGTGAGCAGGCCCCGTCAGTTTTGATTGACGTTAACCTGTTTCTTAGGTGTGATTGGTCTGACGACTGCCTTGCGGATACAAGAAACTGGGAAATACCATGTCGCCATTATCGCGGAGACATTACCAAGCGATCCGTTGACCATCAGATACACAAGCCAATGGGCGGTGGGTACTGTATTTCATCTGTACGCACGCGAAGTACGATCCCATGCTAGGGAGCCATACATTCCGGTAGCTCTCAAGCTTATGTCGACGAAGCACATCCGAAACAATCAGGTCGGTTCTACCGTTCCAGAGATAAGCCCGACGTTAACACTCACGCTGCATGATGCGTTCAAGAAATTGATAATGAATCCTTCAAGATCATGTGGGACTTATCTGCGTCAGGTAGTGAAGCCGAAAGATGCTTCAAGCGGTTCACAAAAAAGTCATACTATGGTGAATCAAGATCAAAGCCACACCTCTTAGAGTCTATGCCAGATGTACGCTTCTACTACTCCCACTCTCGAATCTAGGCATATCAAACTCACCCTATAGTTTCGATATATGGATCCTGGAGAACTTCCTGAAGGATTTGTTGAGGGCGTGTCATTCAGCACCTTCTCAATTGACGTGCCGATATATCTCAATTATTTACTATCTCGATTTCTTGCGCATGGGGGTGCTATAGTCCGCGGGCAGGTCCAGCATGTGTCCCAGGTCATGGAAGGCGGCGTGGGCCCCTTCACCGGTGCAAAGAACTCATATAAACCAGCCGCGGTTGTCGCATGCGTTGGCCTCGGAGCAAGGTTCCTGGTTGGAGTGGAGGATAAAGATGTAATCGCGATCCGTGGGCAGACCATCTTGTTGAAGGCGCCGTGGGTTGATGAATGTATTCATACCTACGACGGGCCGATGAGTTATGTCATCCCCAGACGCAGCGGGGATGTCGTCGTTGGGGGGGACATTCGTAAAGGATGATTGGTATCCCCTTGCGCGCCCAGAAACGAGTAAGGAGATATTGGAACGTGTTCTCAAGATATATCCGAAAATCGCTCCCCCGGAAGTACGGGCAGTCAGGGAAGCGAGGGTGGAGGATATAGAACCTATCATCATCGAAGATCGGTGCGGTTTGAGACCGGGAAGAAAGCAAGGCATTCGGATCGATGTGGACTTGAGCGGGACTGTTCCTTTGGTGTTGAATTATGGGTAAGATTCATTTATTTTTGATCATTTTGTGGACTCGTCATAACACACTCTACGGTGCAGGCATGGTGGATATGGGTTTATGTCTTCCTGGGGATCTGCAACTCTGGCGTTAGGATTATTGGAGGACGCGTTGTACAAGAAGAGATAACTTTTGGGAGGATTAGCCATGTAGTATTTGGATGCGTTCAACAGATTCGAGGCAAATTGTACCCGATGTGTTTCCACTTGTGTTTGTTAAGTGCCACATACTAAAGAATACTATTTTATTTAGTTGTCCTTAGATGTCTGGACTCCGCTACTGTACATCTTAGATGCTGGTATCATTGTTCTGAAGGGAAGTCACGTTCCCGACGTCAGTAAACCTGGCTATCCAACTGGAAGATCGACGTCTCAAACGTGTAGCAAATGCTCATGTATGAATCGTCGTTTGGGTGAGTGAAATTCTGGCATCTCAACAGATACTAGTTTCGTATAGTTGGAAAATGAAAGCTCCAACACCGACCACGTCAGCGGAGATGATGCTCAAGGCAGTAATGTTTATTCTGCGGAGTTGTGACTAGTTCTCCTGGGGCAGTCCCGCCGACTCCTACCAAACCGATGTCAAATTTACAGAAGGAAGAGGCAGGCCTATGGTAAGTTTATGGATGAACAGCAAGGCGACCATGCTGTGGGTGTCAATTATATTTCAAGCATGCTGTAACCGAACCTATGCTCAGGGATGATACTCAGCCTTCAACTCTGCAAACCCAAGCCGTGGCTGCAGGTCCTCCGATATCTCCCAGCCACCCAGATCCCACACCGTGTAAAAATTACGAATAAGGTACATACCGACGAGCCATCCGTTGCCGGAGGTTCTGACGAGCCGGTCAATGAAAGAATTGGACCAAAGTTGTAGGGAAAATCCTTACGGCTCGAACATAGGCCAACAGTACTGCTCCTCCGTATATCCCGGCGCAATCAAGTCTGCAGGGCGGATGGTGATCGTACCCTCCGGAAGTATCATAGTCATGTTGAAGTCCAATTTCCGAAGATCCTCGCATAATGGTCGACCACCCTGCTTGATGAAGGTATAGTTCATTCCAATGCCTGCGTAGATGTCTTCGATGTAAGCCTCCGGCACGGTTATCCAAGACGACCCAGTGTCCCACACCGCATAATTCTGCACATATACGGTATTAGCCTGTATGCCCTCGTTCGTATTCAAACTGAAGTCGACACGGTTGATATAGGTAGACCAATAAATAAGCTCATTGTTGTAGTCGGTGTAGCGCTGAACGTTGAAGTAGGTCACGTCCGTGCTGTTGTACCCGGTGGAGTGGCCACCGAATTGGACGACGCCGTTGTTTGGCGAGAGTTCTCGTCCGGCATAAATGGCAAATTCATGCGCCTCCAGGATCTCCGGATTGAAGAGACTCTCAAGGAGGGAGGCATGGACGGCATCCCTACACCGCTGTGAGTAAACCTCACCTCGGGTAAATGAAAAACCTACTCTGCACGAGGAAAAGCCAAGCCAAGCATTCCGTCTGCGTCGAGCCATACCCAATTTGAGTAGTTGGCGAGGAGGACTCGTGTGGAGACTCCGGTTGAAGTGTTTTCGATGGACAATGTATCAGTAAATATTGTGCTGTCTTCCCAGTGAGCACAATGTTGGTCATTCAAAGAGAAATGTACCCGGAAATGGCGCCTCCGAGATAGTTAATGTCGAGAGTCTCCCCCGTGGCATTATAAGTCGAGGATTCAGATGGGATATATGCCGTACGGTTGGAGTCCGAAATCGGGCACGATTCGACACACGATTGGGCCAGAACCCATGTAGGATCTGAGCCTGTGTCAAGCCAGAGGTTGAACTCTTGAGGAGGTGTGCCCAGCCTAGAATACAATAATGTCAAGTCGACCTCCCGGACACCAGTGAGAAGACCTTACGAAATAGGTATCGTTCGATAGCCCTGCTCAGTTATACTGATGGGTACAGTGAAAGTAGTGAAGCTATACGTATGATAAGAAAAATTTGTCGGAATAATGGCTGCATTATGCCATACCTTTCGTGACAGAACGCACCACCCAAGGTCAGAAGCAGCCACGGCGTAAAAATGAGAAACATTTTGGATAAAAAGCTTGGGTCTAAACGGCCATTTTATACCGCGCTCTTCTCGCGACCTCGCGGCTGTATCGATGGCCCGAGTTTCCGAAAATTTACCGGCAGTCATTAAAAGCGCGGGGACATGGCCCGAGACCCATGAAGAACGCATAGCTGAGCTGGGCATGTTTGACGCTCAATTTACAGATAGAGGATGGCGAGAAGAGTAATCACCGCCAGCCGGACCCAGTCCACGAGTCATATGGCTATAATAATTTAGTATGAGATCGTTGGATGTCCTAATTACGCATACCCAACGTACAGCTGACGATTTTTCCCAGCTGTTCTTGCCGCATAAAATATAGAAGTACGTGGTAAGTTAAACCATCGCACAGTCAACTTCAAGGAGGAGGAGCTACGAGGCACTGCAAAGGCACTGGGCGGAATTGAGAAAATTGCGGCGTCATCCGTTCCCACGATTGCTACTCGCGTAACAATCTGCTTTCACGCCTATGCATTCCACTATGAACTCATGTATACAGGACAGGACGTGTGACTTCTTGATCAGAAATATTCTTTCCGGTCTCTATTTTATCCAAGCCCGGACCGAATCAAAACACCCACCTTGGGGAGGCGTCGATAGGAAACAGTAACTTACCTGTACTGCCTTACTGTTGACTTTTGAATAATTACAACAGTGCTGAGCGAACACCTTCTAGGATGTAATATTGTAACTTGTCAATCTCGCGGGGAAAAAAGATACCTCAAAGTTAAAGAATAAGTCGACCCAGGTTCGAACTGAGGACCTTCTGTGTCATTTACATGTTAGACAGATGCGATAACCAACTACGCCATCGACCCACTCCCGTGCAATCCATGCTGTAATTATTTAATCAATCCTTTATTTACAAAGGACTTACAGGAACCAAAAGCCCTTATATTGAACTCGGACCACTAGTACTGGTAGGTGGTTCCTTAAAATCGAGCTTATACTTGCGCATGTATCCAAGCGTCTTGTTCCTCGCACCTCTGCAGCCCTTTTTGCCCAAACTCCAGAATTGCATTGTTTGAGCTGCAATGAGTATGATTCCTCCGAGTCCGACTGACCAAGCCTGGGGAAGAGGAGGAGAACGATTCGTTGCTACGGATTGATATTGTTGCTCTCAGGATCCACGGAGCTAGACATAGCGCTTCTATGTCTTGACTGTAGGCTGATGTCGAGGAATTCTGATCGACTAAGTTCGCATGGAAGGTGGGGTTCAAAGCCCGGCGCGGAGAATGGCAGTAGCTTTGTTGGAAATGCTTTATATCTGTTCGTGGATCATCGCTGCCTTGCTTCATCGTTTTACTGATCACTGATTCTGATCGTCATCTCCAATTTTGAGCATCAGCGTCTAGCTTGCACTAGGCGAATTGTTATCAATCAGGTGGTAGTGACAAGAGCTGAGATCTGGGGCGCTCTGTCATAAGAAGCTGTACTCGCATGTTATACAGAAGCCGCGCGGTGATTGAGCTTATATGAAGGCTGTTCTTCACTACCGCTAGTCTTGTCAGATGGCTACGCCCTAGTACGGTCTCCACATCAAAGTGGTGGACGTTTAACTCGGTACAGCTTCCTCCTCCTCGCTGTACTCACATCTTGCGTCTGGACTTTATTACCTTGTCCTGAGCCAGGCGGCGTTATACCTATGGGGCAGCTAAAGTTGATGATTGATGCTTCTCAGGGATGCGGAATTCATTCGGCTCCATCTAAGCGCTGCAATTCATTTCTCGGGGCGCTTACCAGAATTATTATTATCCTCGAGATGATTGGACGATACAATACAGCTCGACAGGTTGTAGTCGTATATAAGGCGCTGAGTACCGAGATTGCAAGGGCATAACCCCCACCTGTTCGACCACTACACAACTGACAATTATGCGCCTCTCTCGAGCTTTCGCATGTCTTGCCACATCATTGGTCCTTGCGCCGCAGGCCTATGCAGGCCCCATTGCATATGGCCTTTGCCAAACTGGTAGGTACAGAGGTGACTCATCTGTGGACGCTATCTGATGGTCTGAGATATGTAGGTTGTAACACCATGGCGGTCGCGTGCTATGCGGCCGCTGGAGCCACGTTTGGAACGGTCGTCGCAGCGGCTGCAACACCTGCTGTTATTCTCGGCTGCAATGTTGCGCTCGGAACGTGCGTGATTTCATCTTTAAGATTAATATTGCACTTACATGCTTATACAGATGCTCCGCTACCTGCGCTACTGTGGGTCTTTTCGCCCCGACTCCGTGAAGAATATGTTCGTGACATTGAGGGTATCTGTTATGGATTTCCGCATCGATGGAAACCCGCCGATTCCTCTGGAAGTCTCCAGTCGATTGAAATCTTTTCTTTCTTCTTTCATTCCTTTCTTTAGTTCAATTACTCAGCGTAATATACTCAGTATGACTCACGAACCTCACGAAGCTTACAGAATCTTCTAGCAAATCCCTTTGTATATATACGCAGCTACGAAAATGTAGTCGGTACCAAATCTTACCTATCTTGAACCCCTACCACTTTGTGTGACCTCAAGCAACGGACACTAAGCTACGCGCTAGTCCCGTTAAACTCATAAGTTAGGAACCTAAGCCTCGCGCTAGTCTACTAACTTCGTTCAAGATACCTGTTAAGATACCTCGAGCTCGCTCGAACCCATATCTCGCTCACGGATACCATCTTCTCACGCTCACGCTCTTGTTCTCTTACCACGACGTGCTTCGATTGGCGAATACTTGTTTTATTATCTAGCACAGTATCCGACTTTTACAACAGTATCGTAAAGTTCGTTGAGCAATGAGGATATTACATTCCGTGATGAAAGTCCGCATGTCCGTACACTGAGAGAAAGAGAAGTCCATGTAAGTAAAAGAGATCTAGCGTCCGTCATTATCATCACCAGCCCTCCGAGCCAGCGCCCACAGAGCTGTTCTACATGAGTGTGATCAGACTTAGGGCGTCAGAAAAGGAGACGAGCCTACCGTTTGGTCCTGTCGCTTGGCTTCTGAATACACGAAAATCAATATGAGAAGCACCTCATCTTTCGCAAGCCCCTCCCGTGTGAGCTCAAGCGTGGTTGGCGTGGGCTTGGAGAACACGTGGGGCCTAAAGGGAACAGCGAAAGTTCCGGCGACCTCGTCATTTGGCAGAATAGCCTGTACGACACATGTAACGCTGGCCGACACGGTGAACAATACGCGCACCTTCCAATCTTCATAGTTATACTTTAACGAGTATTCGTTTCTACCTTCTTCCCATTTCCAGTATCTGCATCTGTGAAGCAGGCAGCGTATAAGAAAGAGACATGTCGCTCCAAGTAAACGGCTCACTTGCGAAAGGGTTTACCAGCATGCCTCTTGATGTCGGAGAATTTCTTCTTGTGTCCCAGGACTTCCATAATCCTGTCCTGCCAGTGTATTGCCCCAACGGTCACTACGCCTCCTGGCCCTGGATTGGCGTCTTGAAGAATGGTCAGATGACGTCCGCGAAAGTTGAAGGTCGTCTTCAAGGTATACAGCACGGATTCATCTACAGAGGAGCGAATTCGCGCGTTGACGACGTTGTTCTTGTTGTCGAAGAAGGCCTCCATATCGTACCGTGCATAGGGTGGTGGTCCGGAGGCAAACGCACAATAAATAAATACACATGGACCCACATTGAATCGGAATTTGCATGTGTTTGCCAGAGGAGCCATCAACCGTAACCGGCAGAAAAGTTCTGTACATCTTCCTTACCTACTGCTGCACTGCATCTGACATCGACTTGACGTCGCTTGACGCTGCCAGAGGCAGCACGGGAGGCTCTGACGTGTTGGGAGGATTGGTATACCCGTAATTGACGACTGATTGACGACTGAGGATGTCTGAAGGAATTCAGATTACGATTCCAGGTGCGTTTTCCTTGATTGTTATTTTGCTGGCCCTTTACTGGAATCCTCAACAGATTTTGAGGATGACGACTACAACTCCTCGACAATCCCTTTCGGTCGGTCTGCTGGGAACCAGTTTGGATTTGGAGGAGGATTTGGGGCGAGCACCAATGGCTCAGGTCAGGATTCACCTACGCTAATGACACCGACCGCGGACAACAGAAGCTACTTCAGTGCCCATGCTAGAGGGGACTCGGTCACGTCTGTCGACTCCACGAGTTCTGTTACTGCGCGATATCCTAACAGGTCCCAGACCTCTTTTGTCCATTCGTCACATTCCTCCATCGCGGCATCCAACTCTTCCAGCTTTCCCAAAAAGTCATCCTTTGCTTCCTTGAGGAATGCTTTCAAGAGCGGTAAGAACACGGAGCTACCCCCCGTACCGTCTCTTGACTATCAGCCTAATTCTGTGCTGAAGAATGCTTTCAACCGCTCCACCTCCTCCTTGAACAATGTTTCGCCGATGCCAACCTCTGCAAAAGGTATTCCACCCGCTATGAGCCCCCAATTTGGTAGACCAGCTACCCCCGCTTCTGCCGAACCTAGATATATGCGTGGTTTGCCGTCTACTAGATCCAAAAGCCATTCCTACGCCAAGTCGTACCACTCTCAGTCCGGTTCCATCTTCCATATATCTGATACTGGTAGCGATGGGCATGGGCAGTTTTCATCCTCTCCTCCCCCCCTGCCGCGATTTCCAAATGGAATGGTTCGGTCAGAGACGCCAGATTTCGAAGAAGACAAGGTGGTCATGGATCCTAAGACTCCTTCGGACTTTGCACTACACGCGGTCTTCATCCGGTTTGCAAGCCTGGCTGAAGGGAAAATTGATACGTTTCTACGGCAAATTTTGGTGCGCCATGATTCTTCGTTGACAGTTTCTGTTCTAAATTGATCGCAGGAACAAGAACCTCTGTTGACCCTTTTCATGGGACCTGGTGTCGATTTGGCGTTCGACGGAATTTTAAATTCTCTGGGAAAGATTGCACAGAAGCATGCGAAGCCTGTCGTCGACTCCGTTATGCGATGGCGAAGAAGTCAGTTGGAGAATGTTGGATCGGACATCATCAGGTTTCATATGGCTCAGTCTCCTCCTGGCGTCGTCCGTACTGTGCGCACGACGGACGTTCCTAATCTGCTCAACGAGCGCAAGTCGCTAGCAGCGATTTATATCATGTGCCGTGCTTTAATCGCAGTGCTACAGTCGCTACCGAAAGATGGGCTAGGAGAAGCCCTGGGCTATAGTCTGGAGAAGACCACTTTCGAACAGTTTAAGAAACCGGACCTCAAGCTTCTGTTGCAGTCTGCGAATCATCGTACTAATGCAGAATTATATGCCACTATGCTGGGGCATTTGGCCAACGTCAGGTAAGCAATTGGTTAAGCTTGACTTGAGCTCAGAGCCAACGTCCTCTTCACGAAAAGATTTGTGAGCATTACAGATCGATTCCTTTCGGAACTTGCGCCGGTTGCTCAGGGCCAAGTTACCAAAGATGACATGAAATTTGAGAATCTCGTCCGAGGTATCAAACACGTGCAATTGAAGGTAGATCATCTCGCTTTCCACCATGGTCAGGGCCTCACAGGAATTCTCTAGGTCTGGCCTCCGGAAGCTTTTGAAGAAGGCGCTGAGTTTTTGGAGTCTTTCGCGAAGTCCTTTGCCCACGCCCATGGTTTCAAATTAAAGTCCGCATTTGCTGAGACTCTGGTACAAATCTTGCATCCAATTGGAAAGGTACGGCTAATCATGAGATCGCCAGAACTCGATCTCAAAATGCAATTTATAGACTGCTCAGGCTGAAACTAACAATCCCATGTGGGCCAAGGCGATCGAGATTATCTATCCAAAAGCAAGAGAGATGATGTCAAAACCGCGGTATTGGAACGTGGCGTTTCCTCTGG